AGGAAGAAATAAATAAATAAATAAATAAAAGAGGGAGAAATATATTTAACTGCAAAGAACGATGGGGAAAGTAAAGAACATCGTTAACGATCTGTCGCAGCGGAAATAACAGTCGGCAGACCACTGGAAGACGCACACACACACACACACACAGACAGAGAGAGAGAGAGAGGGAGAGAGGGAGAGGGAAAAAAGGAGAAGAGTTCAATGCTTTCAACGATTTTATTGCAATCTCCCCTTTGACGTGCATCACATGTCCTTTTTTTTCTTTTTCCTTTAAAAAAAAAAAAAAAGGAGATTTAAATGCATGTGGTATGCATATACATACGTATACACAAATACGCGGCATCTCTTTAAATACCCTCCCCTCCCCCTTCATCGTTACCTTCCGACTGTATTGTGTTGAACACGACGATACTCCTTTATTTTTGCATTTATTTTACATGTGTCTGCGCTTGACTTTTTTTTTTGTTGTTTTGTTTTGTTTTTTTAGAAATTTAGCGACCGAAGAAGACAAGAAAAAAGGAAAAAAAAAAAAAAAGAAAAAAAAACAAGACAGAAAAAGAGGACGGAAAGGCTCAATAGAGAGATATAGGTTAATTGACTGATAGATCGTGGTATACATTTTATTTGATTGATTTAATTTTATTTTTGAGGAAAAAATTTTGATAGGGGAACATATATTTATATTTATATTTATATTCATATACATATGCTTCGTCGTCTTTCAATTCGGCCCGTGTTTGCCCAACGATATGTTGTGGCGGGATACTTCACGTTATCCCCTGTACGTTTCCAGGGTGCAGACTCAAGCGGTAGTGAGGCCCCTGCGGACAGCAACGCCAAGCATGACACCAATACTAGCGGCTCTGCGTCACGGTGGCGCCGCCTATCTGCATCACAACTACGCGCCCGCCGTCCGCAGCTTCCGCCTGCGTTTGATGTTGTGCACTGGAACGACGATGACATGAGCAGCGGCCACCTGTTGCGTGTGCTGCACCGCGACAGCTTTGTTGTCCTCGACTATCACCGTCAGGTGAAGAAAATTGGGGAGGAGGGCAACAAGGCGGAACGTGTCGTGTCGGTGATGCTGCCAGCCGTGTACACCGCCCGCTTCCTCGGCGTGCTGGAGGGCCGCCTGGACAAGGTGGAGGTGCAGTCACGCTTCACAAACGCCGTTTTTGCCCCCGACCCAGCAGCGCCGCACACATTCATCCTTAATTGCACATCGACACGGCCACCGCAGCAGCAGCAGCAGAACGGCGGTAACGGCGAGGAGGAAAAGTTTGACTGGACAGTGAAGTTTGATGTTGCAGAGTCGCTGATGCTTCACCGATTCCTTACACAGGCGCTGCACTACAACACCGGATTTGCCCGCACGCTTGTTTAGAAACAACAACAACAACAACAAATTAACCTTCTTCCCCCCCAAAGGAAACCAAAGAAAAAAAAAAAGAAAACAACAACAAAAAAAAGGAAATGAAAAGAAAAGGAAAAGGGGGTGGTTTGACTGCCTTCTGCAGGTGCCGTCCCCGTATGTCACCCTACGTGGCGGGGGAGGTGGGAATCGTTTCTGCTGACCGTTTGCCCATTTGGCCGAAAGGAGATGAAGGAGGCCGTCAAAAGGAGGGGCGGGGACGGAGGAAGAAATGAAAAGAAGATAAAAAAAAGAAAAGAAAAAAAAAAAAAGGAAGTAAATGTGACGGGAAGACAAAATGAATAAATAAATAAATGAATAGACGGAAAGAAAAAAAAGAAATCACAAACATACATGGAGGCCACGAGGGGGTTGGGGGGTCGGGGGCGTGGAATGAAGACATCCCTTTATTTATTTCTTTTTTTTTTCTCTTTCTTTCTGTATTTTGTGTATTTTTTTTTTATTATTTTTTTGGATTTATTTTTTCATTTCCCTCTTTTTCTTCCTGCCTTTTTGTTGTTGTTGTTGTTTCTTCTCTTCATTCATGAAAGCATGTGGGATGAGAAAACGCACGAGGAGGAGGAGGAGGAGGAGGAGGAATTGTTCTACGAACCAACACCCACCCACCCACCCTTTTTTTTTGTTTTTAATGCACATTGAAGGTAGAGAGAAAAAAAAAAAAAGAAAGGGATGCCTTTCTTTACTTTTTGTTTTCATTCTCATTCTATTTCTCTCTCCCTCAGTTACACTCCTTATATTTACATGTAGTGAAACCCTTTTTTTTTAATTTATTTATTTATTTATTTATTTATTTTTCATTTTGTTTTTACCGTCCCATTTATTATTTATTATTTATTATTTATTTATATTGTAAATAATAATAAATAAATAATAAATATACTCCGATCTCCGCCGCTCTTTGTATGTCTGTGTGTGTGTGTGTGTGTGTGTGTGTGTGTGTAATGTTCCGTATGGGATTAAAGCGGTAGAATTATATTGGAGGCAATACAACTGACTTTTTTCAATTTTATTTATTTAAATGTACAAAATAAATAAAATTTTTTTTTTTTTTTTTTTTTTCTTTCCTCCTCTCACCTCCCCTTCTCTCTCTCTCTCACAATTATTATGCCTTCACCGGGTAACACACACTTACATATATATAAGGCGAGTGAGAAAGAGAGAGAGAGAGGGTGAGGATCTGAATACAAATAAAATACATACGGGGTGGGGAAGGGAAAAAAAAAAAAAAGGAAACACAACAACAACAACAACAACAACAACAGCAACAGAAAAAGGATCCCGAATCATTTATATAACACAAAGTACATAACTATTTATTTTAGTTATTTATTTATTTATCCATTTATTTCATATCTTTATATACATACGCCCATACATTCTTTATTATTATTATTATTATTATTATTATTATTATTGTTATTATTTGCAAATGACTATGGTTGAGAGGAGTAATGTTTGCGGGAATGGGAACGGCGCCTTGCAACTTGATCCCAGGGAAAGTGCTGCGCCGGCAAATCCATTGGAATACCGCAACGAGCATACGCTGGTGGATTTGCCTCCGTCGCAGAGAGACGGGGGAAAGAACTACAAGGAGCTTGAGAAGCGGGAAGTGGCTGAGATGGAAAATGGCCGAATGTTTGAGTTCCACGATAAGTGGCTGCGGAGTTTCTCAGAGAAACCGTTGACAAGCCGCAGTCAGACCCGTTCCCAAAGCTACAGGCAACGTTCACACGATGCGCAAACGGCTTCGGTGAGTGCCCCAACAGATGTGATGTCGCATATGCGATTCCGCTGCCTCATAAATTCCGCTCGCTGCGTTGCACACCGCAGCACCTGTTCCAACAGCTACACGAAGAGTTCCGAGCCCTTCACGCTGGCGGAGCGGATATCTATACAAAACATGATGGAGCGCGGGGAACGGCGCCTGAATGTTCTTCAACGTGCAGCCGAAGAATACGACAGACGTGGGAAAGTATTGATTGATTATGAACTTCAAAAGGAATCCGCCTCACTTCACCGCATCATAGAACTTGAGAAAAAGAAAGTTAATACTACCAGAGAGCGGCAGTGTAAACTCAATAATCGTATGGAACTGGCGAAAATGCGACGGGAAATGATGGAACGGGAACGGCGGGAGAAATTGGAAGTGACTCTTCGGCGTTTGGAAGAACGTGTTGGGCACATCGACCCGTATGCGGTGCAGATTGCCAGAAGAATAAACAAAGGTTTTACCACCCCCCCACTCTCCCAAAGGAAACAACAAACCCCTATACGGTAGGCACATGTACATTACCCTCTTCTCTCCCTTTATATATATTTACATATATGTATAAACGCATACATTTATAAATATTATGAATAAATATGTACCAGCACAACATTTCACATAAAGTGAGACATTTGGAAAAAAAAAAAAAAAAAAAAAATTTTCTTTTCTTTTTTCTTTTCTTTTTTTTCTTTTTTTTACACAGGCGTGTGTATACACATGTCAATTGAACCTTTTTTTTTTTTTTTTTCTTTTTTTCTTTTTTTTTCTCTTTTCTTTCTTGCTGTTTTTGCTGTCTTATTGGAGCTGGGCTCTTTTTCTTATACATTTATTTATTTATTTATTCATATTGTAAACAAAAATAAATAAATAAATAAATAAAACGAAAAGAAAAGAAAAGAATTTATTTTGCAGTTTTTTTTTTTTTTTTTTTTACTTCTTTTCTCATTTTATTTATATTTATGAATACATGCGTCTCTCTCTCTCTGTCTGTGTCTGCCTCTCTGCCTCTCTGCCTCTGTGTGTGTATTTATGTGTCTTCCATGTGGTGTTTTTTTTTTTTTTTTTGCCTGCACACGATACGGGAGGAAATAATAAAATAATATAAAAACAAGAAGTGTGATGTGAAAACAAACAAAAAAAATGACAACAACTACAAAAAAAAAAAAGAGAGAAAACAGGGGGAAAAAAAAGTAAAAAATATAAAATCAGGCAAAGAAATGGAGAGAAGGAGAGGCACAAACACACAACCAAACAAACACACACACACACACACATATGCATGATTACATGCGTATTTCAGTATTGAACCAAATTTCTGTTTTTTTTTTTTTTTTTTTTTTACTTATTAATTATCCCGCTTTGCGATGTGATGGGTCCATTGATGGAGTTTTAGTGATGTCTCTCTTTCTCTTTCTTTTTTTCTTTTTTTTTTTTTTGTTTCTCTCACTCTCTCTTTCTCTGTTGTCCCTGTTTGCTGCGTGCCTACGCTTCACGCATCTATTTTTCCTTTTTCTTTTTTTTTTCTGTGTGTGTGTGTGTGTGTGTGTGTGTGCGTCTATTGGGCAATTCCCAATGCGGTCGAGGGAGCAGTAGAAGCACCAGCCGGTTGTTGTCACATTTCAGGCAACATAACATTCACAAGTAAGGGGAGGTCATACATTCTCTTTTTTGTTGTTGTTTGTTTGTTTGTTTGTTTTATTTTATTTGTGTAGAGGTGAAGGGGGGTGGAAAATAAATAAATTTAATAGAAGTGTGTGTGTGTGTGTGTGTGTGTCTTTTGGTGCAAATCAGACGATGAGTTACGACGGAAGGGAATTATCGCCGATGGCGGAGCGCCCGGTAAATACGGCGGCCGCAGTGTCTGGAAAGGAGGCACGCAGTGTCAGTGGCAGCGCACTGCCTGTGTACGACTTGGACCCGACGACACGGCAGCTGCTGGAGGAGAACGAGGCCATGTTGTACAGGATTAATGTCTTGACACACGACGTGCAGTTGGCGCAGGGCGAAATACAAAAGTTGAACAACACCATCACGGAGAAGAATGAGGAGTTGGAGGCGTTACGGGAAAAACTTGGGGACGCCAATATTCACGCCCAGGATGCATCCGGACGAGTCATCAATTATAAAACAGAGTGCGAGCTGCTGAGCGCTGAAAATAAACGTCTTTTAAAGGAGTACGAGGATGTTTGCGCGGAGTTGGAGCAGCGAACGGAGGATATTCGCCAAAATACAGGCGTCATGCGTCCGGACAGTGTCAGGGGATCACCGGCACTATCGGTGGAGCAGTTTAACCGCGAAATGTTGAGTTTATTTCCAACGGTTGATCGTGTGGTGAACTCTTTGAAACGCTGCGTCGTGGTGGATGTCACCAACCGTGAGCGCGTGTTGGATAGCGCGCAGAAGGAGCTTTCGTCGATGCAGCGACTGGCAGACTCCGTACGTCGTATGGGCGTTGGTGAGGAAGGTCGTGTGAACAATATTGTGTCGTCTATACGCAAAGGCGAGAAGGTCCAGTCCCACGGTGACTTGGCGATTATGATTCGTTGGATGATTGTACAGGCCTTTGAGTCTGGCCTGACGGCCACGGAGGGGAACTTGCGGGCCATCGAGACCCTCCTGGCGAAGAAGGATGAGAAGACAAACGGAATTGAAAAAAAAGATGCTGGAGAGAAGAGCGCCCTTCCTTCGGCAGCGGGTGCGGTCCGTCGTATGTTTCTTCGACCCACGAAGTAGAAATCATTTTTTTTTTCTTCTTTTTCTTTTTTTTTTTTTTCTCCCTTTTATTTTTCGGACTCATAGTTGTTAATGCACACAGACCCGAGAGATATGGTGCCATTTCTATCTCCCACTTTCTCTTTATCTATCTAGAGTATATATATATATATTGCTTATGTTGTTACGTCTTCACTCTGCGGATATTGGGTAGGGAGAGCTTCTCTGCCTCCTTTTTTTTTTTTTTTTTTGTGTGTGTGTGTGTATGTGTGTCTTTCCGTTGGTCCAAGAGGGTTTGTTTGGAGGTGTGCTTCTCATTGGTGAAATTGTTGATTGCAACAACCTTCGCTTCTCTCCTTTTTATCTCTGCAGCGCAATCTCCACATTGCAAGGAATAAGAGAGCGGATACACACAGGCATATATATATATATATATATATATTTATTTATTTATATATACACGCAAAGATGGACGAAAATGACATCGCGGACTTTACGATGGACGAAAACACATTCGTGACGAACGAGCAAAATGAACGCGGACTGGCAACACAAGACATCAACGCCCTCAACCTTGACAAAATCAACGCAGAGACGTTTGAGGTGATGTCTCGACAGGCCACGGTTAACATTGGCACCATTGGTCACGTGGCGCACGGAAAGTCCACCGTCGTGAAGGCATTGAGCGGCGTCAAGACGCAGAAGTACCACCGCGAGGCGGTGATGAACATCACAATTCATCTCGGGTATGCCAACGCCAAGGTGTTCAAGTGTGACAAGTGCGAGCTTCCAGCCGCTTTCCACGCGTTTCCGTCGTCGCAGCCGGACAAAACGGATTGCCCGACGTGTGGCTCGCCACTAACACTGAAGCGTCACTTTTCATTTGTGGACTGCCCCGGTCACGACGTGCTGATGGCAACGATGCTGAACGGTGCGGCCATCATGGATGCCGCTCTTCTTCTTATTGCAGCCAATGAGCCCTTTCCGCAACCGCAGACACTTGAGCACCTGAAGGCGGTGGAGATTATGCGACTAGCTAACCTAGTTATTTTGCAGAATAAGATTGACCTTGTCGGCGAGGTACACGCGCAAGACCAGTATCACAAGATTCGAAACTACATTGACAGCACGATTGGATCTAATATTCCCATCATTCCCATTTCCGCTCAGCTTAAACGCAATATCGACTACCTTTTGGAGTACTTGTGCCATATTCCTCTTCCGACCCGTCAGCTGAATTGCCCTGCTCACATGACGGTGGTGCGCTCCTTTGACATCAACAAACCTGGTGAAGTGGACATTGAGAACCTGCGTGGTGGCGTGGCGGGGGGCACTGTAACAAGGGGCATTATTCGAGTCAATCAGGTCCTGGAGATTCGCCCCGGCCAGGTGCATGCGCAGACGGGTGGAACCTTCAGCTGCACTCCCCTGCGTACACGCGCGTTAACGCTGAAGGCGGAGGACAATTCACTGCAGTACGCGGTCCCTGGTGGGTTAATTGCCGTTGGTACCACACTTGATCCAACATTGACACGCCAGGACAAGATGGTTGGCCACATGATTGCCGATGAGGGATCTCTCCCGGAGGTGTATGCCGAGATTGAGGTGCAGTACTTTCTCTTTGAAGAGATGGTGGGGCGAAGCAAGCAGCGAGATCGCAATGCGAAGCGCGTACAGAAGTTGAACCTGCAGGAGACGCTTCAGATTAACGTGGGCACTCTCACAGCAGGCGCAACTGTAGTAAACATCACGAAAAATCCCGACATTGCGAAATTGACTCTAGTGACCCCCGTGTGCTGCACGCTGGACGAACACATTGCCATCTCTCGACTGGTGGAGAAGAACTTCCGTCTCATTGGCTGGGGTATTATCCGACGTGGCGTACCGGTAAAGTTGAACTGAGGGAATACAAAGGAAAAGGAACGAGGAAGAAGGAAAAGAATACACACAGACAGACACGCACGCATGTACGCACGAAATTCCTGGGACGACACCATCCATCTGACAAACCGGGTGGAGGAAATGCTGTCGAAGTGGGGTGCAGACAGGGTGAGGAAAACAAGAAAAAAAAAAAGGAGAGAGAAAGAGCGAGAGAGAGAGAGAGAGAGAAAGGTAGTAGTAATACGTGGCTGGGAGTAATGTCGTTCCTGCAGTTTTTTTGTTGGTCGTGTATTTCTGTCTTCTGCCTCGGAGCCCACTAGCGACGCTACGAAATTTTTAAAACTGGATAAGAATATACATATATACATGTATGTATGTATATGTAAGAAATGCAGCGAGGGTAATGCGACCAATGGCACACAGGCTGTATGCATGTATGTTTGCTGTGCCCTCGACCGAAAGATGCTCCAAAAGTTTCCACACACTTTTTTTTTTTTTTTTTATCCCCTTTGTTTACTTTTATTTCTATTTATTGTTTCCATTGGGGAAAGAAGAATGACGACGGGAAATTTTTTGTGGGTGAGTTCTGCGTACTGGCTGCGGCTCTGATGTGGGGAAACCCAGTTTCAACGGGGAGAAAGGCAAAGCAAACAAACAAGCATACACACATGAAAAAAAAAAAACAACACTAAACAATTAAATCAGAAAGGAAATAATTAAATCTATTGTCGACGCTGGTATTGTTGTTCCTGTTCCGTGCATATATATTTATATCCCTGTTGTGTCTTGAGAGCCTTGCTGTATTTGCATGCGTTTTGAGGACTCTTGTGCAATTGTCGCTCTTTTTTGTTGTTGTTGTTGTTTGTTTTCCCCCTCTCTCCACTTTCCCGGAGTAAAGGAGAGCAGCCGCCGTTCACAATTGTGTGTGCGTGCGTGTCACCTTTTTTTTTGTTGTTGTTGTTGTTGCGCGCATTGACGCCGTCATCGAGTGGGTTTTCTCCGCCATTCCTCACCGGACCCTGTCACCCGGCGTATATAAGGGATTTAAGAAGTTGGAAGAGGGCGGATGTCTATTTTTTACAGTTACGTTGTACGTGATGTGTTGGAGGTGGAACCGGTGTATTTCCAGGGGCGAGTGACCGTTTCTTCCACCTCTTCCTTCGCTGCTGCTGCCGCAAAAGTAGCGGAAGAAGATGTGGAAGAGCTACTCGACAAGCAACATTATCAGGTTACATTTGAGGATATTCTCATGCATCGGCTTACAGAGCGGTATGTAGGGAAGATTGTGCCTGGCTGCGGGCTGTGTGTAGCCATCCATGATATCCTGCAGTACACACAGGGTATCGTGCGTGGACCCTCCGCTTCGGCGTGGCTTACGGCTCAATTCCGGCTTTGTATTTTCGCTCCGACGCCAGGGGCACGTTTACGCGCGACAATTAGTGCGCAGACCCGTGAAGGTATTTATCTTACGTTGGAATTTTTTCAGTTTGTATTCTTCGTCCCTGGTGACCTCCTTGTCGCGCCTTCTTCCTATCACGAGGAGAAGAAGTGCTGGGTGTTGCACGTGGAGGAGGAGGATGACGACGATGTGGATGGTGGGGAAGAGAAGGGGGTGCTGGAGTCGGCGTTAAACCCGTATGAAAACGGGGATGAGGTGATTGTGAAGGTTGAGCACGTCATTGTACGTGAGTTGGTTGATTTCCACAGCAATGTTGGGACGAAGAGTCAAAACAACAACATCAACATCAACAGCAGTGTTTCTGTTGATGGGAAGGAAGGGTCACCAACATCGCAGTCCCCAATGGAGGTGCGAGGCAGTTTTGTGGGAACAGGCCTTGGCCCGGTGCTTTGGTTTGAGAAGTAACATGGCATGCAAACATCACAAAAATAAACATAAACAACTCTCTTGACATACGAGGATTCCTTTTTTTTTTTGTGTGTGTGTGTGTGACTGTTAATGATACATATTTATATTTATATTTATATGTATGTGTGTATTTATGTATTCCTGCCTTTTACCCACATTTCCCCCATTGTGCCAATTGGCATTGCATACACACAATTACGAGGTGAAGAGCAAGGAGAGGTAAAAGAGTGAGTGATTTCCGTGAGAGAGAGAGAGCGAGAGGAGGAGGAGGAGCGAGAAAGAGAGAGAAAAATAAAGAAAGGAAGGAAGTTAAATGACAGATATAGACGGTAGTAACGTCCCTGCCCCAACAAATGCGGCACTAATCGTTTCCCCTGAAAAATTTAACATTGTCCCTTATGTGAAGGAGGAATTTGTGGTACAAATTACTAACGTTTCGTTTGACACTGTGCTGTTCCGTATGTTGACGACAAACCCATTGCGATATTTGGTGAAACCGAGGAAGGGGGTGATTAAGCCAAATGCATCCATCAGCCTTACGGTGATGCTTAACCGCAGCAACCTGAACGAGGAGGAGATTCATGAGGAATATGACGACTTCCGCATTGAGTACTGTGTGATTGGACCGAACGATGTCATTGAGCCTCACTGTGCCAACGTGTCCGACATCGTCAAAGCACGGAAGGTTGAGGACAAGCGACAAGTACACCTTAAAAAATTTCGTTGTCGACTTGAACCCTCTGCCAAGGCACAGAAGAGGCAAAGCGGCGCGGAGAATGCCAAATCGTCCCCGTTGCCATCTGCCGCTACTGAGCGACCGGCATCGCCACGACAAACGGAGAGCTCGAATCCCAGCGCCGTTGCGGCCAAGATGGACCCCAGGGAACTGGAGGTCAGCACACTGGCAGAGAAAAACCGACGTGCCATGGCTCAAAAGGAGAAGGAATGGAAAACCAAAACAGCGATAGTACTTGCGGTGCTTTTCGTACTGTTGGGGATGTGGTTTATGTCCGCGTAGGCATCTCGCAGCTGAGACGGACTGGCGGGGCTAACAAAACACACACACAAAAAGAAAAAGAAGAAAAAAAAAGAAAAAAAAAAGGAAAAAAGTAACAAATGGGGGGCGGTTGAGAGGAGGCGGAAGACATTTTAGGGAGGTGAAATATGGTGGCATATTTGTGTATGGCACGTAAGAAGGAGGAAAAGGAGGGAGTGGAGGGGAGGGAGGAAACGTCGGACGACAAGTGAGCTGCGAAACAATAGAGCATTAAAG